AGGTTGTGCAGCAGAAAAGAAAATAACGAATGGTGCCAGCAAAGGTTCTTATCCGCCGGCGCAGTACACGTGAGAGATTCCTATGGATGAAGATCAGCTGGGTTGAAGACACTCGACAAGAGACGTTTAATGATTACGAGCAAACTGCATTACATTTGCATAGAATAATTACAAGTGGGAAGGCTAATTCACACTCAATAGAGGGTGCCATCAAAAGGTCCACACTCTTCTATACGCACTCGGTGTTAGAGCCCAGGGCACTGCGTGTAAGTACGCAGCAAAGAGCCTCGCTGTTCTACCACACCGTGATTTCAGCACAGGCTGCCCCTCAACGCCCTGACGTGCGGTGTTTTCAAGCGAAGAACAAGAGGGGTAGAGAGAAAGAAAAACACGGAAGGAAGAGGAAAGTTTGGCCCTGCGCCAATGGCGTCACCTCTTTCCTTGCTGCTGACACCCGTCTCGATCTGCCCTCTGATTCCCACGTGCATCCACTGTCTCGAGGCTCTTTTATTCTTGCACGCGCATACGTATTCTCAAGTGCTATGACATTTGGTGTGTATTTGGGGGGGTGGGACAGCCGATCTTTCAATTTGTATATAGAGCAAGACCACCGGAGATGATTTCTGGCCCTCGAAACGGTTTATTCACCGACCCTCAGGAGAACATGACTTCTCGTCGGCGCCATTCATTCCTGGTCCCAAGACCATAACGCTCTGCAGCGTAACTCAAGCCCGGCCTTAAACGTTCCCCTTGAGAGTATGACTGAGCTCTGCGTTCGTTCAGCTGCCCTAAAGAAAACAGCCGAGATATTGCATCGGCAAAGCCTGTGCTCGTGCACTGTCTGTCCCATGACGGTGACGCTCCACGGCTCAGCTGATGCCCTGTTTTTCAGTGCCCTAACTGAACAATCAGCGAAAAAGAAGAAAAGACATAATAGCGCAGTGAAACAAGTTGAAATAACATGGCAATGTACAGTTCGCTTTCTTCGCAGTTAACACTGCCATGAAACGTTCGCACGCACACCTTTCTATTTCTACTCACAGTATATGTACAAACACATCATTCCGAATTTCACAACCCCAAGCTGTATATACGAAGAGGTTATCCAGTGTGGTCTCCACTACGAAGTCTTTCAGAAAAATGTTCGCTTATTCCTGAATATGTACTTGAGGTCGTGCTCCAAGTAATTTCTCTATTATGAGGGGCCATCTGTCCAAACTTGTCAGTTTCTTACTTAGTTTTATCACTTTACTTTGTGTAATTTACGCACTTCAAAAGAATATGACCAACATTTTCATCTTGGTGACGACAGTAGCCATCCGACCTGCTACATCGATGTATTTTCTGCAGGAAGCTGTTTGAGCATGCTACTTCCAGTCAACTTCTGCGCAGTAACATCTCTAAGTGTCGTGGAAGATCTGTCACTATAGAAATTGTTTTGTGCGGATCAACTTCATAGAGTTAGGTCTTACGACTCTCATACTACTTCTCCATAGCACATCGGTTAGCTCTTTGTGTTATAAAATTTCGAATACCCAACCCAGACATAAGGACTGCGCAATCTTGTTTTCTTTTTTTGTTCAAGGCTCTTTTGGTGAGTTTTTCCACCTCATCAGTACCCCATATATGAATGATGCTGGGTATCCATTGAAATACGATGCCATGACCCTGCGCTGAGCCATATCCCGCAGTTTCTGCAATACATTGTGCGATTTTTGATCTCGCATGCTCCACTATCTCGTTTTGTTTTGGGTGCCTCAAACCTCTGCGCCAGACGTCTCACGAAAGACTGTCACCAAGTGCTAAGGACCCACCATGCCTCAGTGAAGTACTGCCGTAAATCTGATGACAAAAATTGTCATGCCCCCTGCGAACATGCGTAATCAAAGTTTTGAGACAATTCACTCAATCGTCATTAAGAGTTCATGTCATGTCCATTAGAGGACGAAGGCTTCTATCAGACTTATGTTACAGAAAGTAAGAGATTAGAATTACAATTAGTTCCCTTAAAATGAAACTTATTACAATAATCAGTTAATGCCACAGAAAAGGAACTATAGACAATTACAGAAATATAGTATATTGTTTTTTCGTTACCTTCTTAAAAAGTTTATTGTTAAAAAACAATAACACAAGTTCATTTGAATGACAACCGACTACAGTGGCTTGCATTTATGGTAGAGAGACGGCTGCACACTTACAGGTGGGGCTTGTTGTGTAATGTTACATGTGTTTAGGCCCCAATAGGGGTGTTTATACAAAGTTGTTGGTTCCTTCATATCTTCCTATCAAGAGGTCAATGGCTACACCGAAAATGAATTGTAGCATTATAATTTTTAGTGCAGTGTCAAACGAAACTCGAAAACATTTTCAACAATACTAAATATGGACGTAAGGGAGACGACAACACAATGCGCTAGATTCAACAGCCTGGTTGTTGAAGTTAGCGCATTTTTTTGTAGTCTCCATTACGTCCTTGTTCTCTAGGGCTGAAGTTGTTTTTGAGTGCTACAGTAAACACTTTGTCTACGAGTGCCCTGAAGCAAAGGGCGGTATCATAAGCGACGGAACGCCTTGCTCACCAGGTTTTAGTTGCGCAGTGATTCATTGGTGGTGCATGTCCTCTAGGTAGCGTCACCCTTTATTTTGGGGCAAGGTGTTGCTAATGAAAAGTTGGTTCTACAGAAACTCCCCCCCCCCCCCATTCTGTAAGAGTGGGTTTCATGCAGAGCGGTCACGTATTTTTTGGGAGATAAACAACTGTAAGAAAACTAACATTTTCATCCATCAAAGTAGTTTACTAGTGGTAATCCATGACAATCAAACCAAATGAAAAACTTTAATCAGGAAACAGCATGGTAAAAAGAATGACGAATCAAGGAAGCAGCAACATACTACACCAAGGGCTGACTCATTTTTACTGAGCTGTTTGCTGATTGAAAATGTTCCAACAACTAGCCAAGTTTAGCTTATTAGTAACTGAATTACCCACAACATTAGTATTTCCAAAATTATACGATTTTTATACATTACGAGAAAGTATATTATGCAACTGATAAATTACTTGTAGCATCTTACGTAGAACCTTGGCCGCTGTCACAAGTCTTTAACCAACCCTTTTGTGGGCGAACTGATTTCAATTCATGCTTCAAAATTTTCAAGATTGCCGCTCCACTTGCCGAACTCGGTCGCACTTTCCTCCTTTTGCTATCTGTTCTGAGACTCTAACTAACCATCGGTTATCTGTTCATCTTATGACGTGAGCTGCCAAGGTCAATTTTTCACGCTTGATATGTGCTGCGATGTCGGCTACAGCTGCAGATACTCTAATCTGCTGTTCTTCTTTCCCACCCGTTAGAGTGGCGCCAATCATTTCTCATTCCAATGAGCACTGGGTGCCTGCTTCTACTGTTCTCGTAGAACACTCTATCAAGGATGCCTTGTCCTCAAAGCACCTCAGGTCACCTGTGTGTCTCCATCTTAAGCCCGTGCGGAAGATTTGATTTTAAAAAGTGCACTCTGCGCAGCTTCGCCACTGGATTGCTAGTGCTCCACAGGAGAGGCTTGTGCCCGACGTTGTTGCTGCTGTAATTAGGCTTATGCCAACGACGTTGCGTTATTAGGGCCGCTTTGAAGCTCGTCAATACTTTTAATGGAATATAATGCCCCTGAATTTTCACACAGAAGACGAATAGTAAGAAATGTTTTTTTTTTTCATTCTGTGAATATATAAACCCAAACTTCTTTGAGCTTCATGGGAAGCAGCCTATAGAACTTGAGGTACGTCGAGTACGTGCGAATGTGTGGCCTTGTGCACATTAACGAATGTTTGCAAGATGGACGATTTACGAGCAATGACGCTATAGTGGTAAACAAGTGCCCAAGGCAATTCTTACTTTTACGAACGTCACGACGCCGTTATGTAAGTTAAAACGACCTAAGGCTAGTGGTGTAAAGGATATTTTGTTCACCAGTCCACCAATTAGACTAACAAACCTATCCGGCATATAGCCGGCTAACATCGCACGCGTGCATAAGAGTTGCGTCAAATCTCTACAGAAGTCAGCGTTTTGCCCGTATTCTCTGGTGGACATCAACATATTTGCAGTTAAAAAAACCTTCATTGTAGAAAACACTATAGCATCGAGTGCTGAAGCCCGTTAAGCCCGTTGCTGAAGCTACCATGCCACGGGCGCTGCTTTTTATTTTGTCTTTTAACTATGCTCCAAGAGCGTGCGTAAGCAGGCAGATCGGAAAACTTTTAGCAATGTCCCGTAGGCAAACACACCTGTTTTCCATGTGCAAGCTGTGTACTGGCTCCCTTCTATCGGATACTACAATGTAAAGAAACTTGTGCTATACCTGTACCAACTCCGTCGATCCGAGAAATCTGTTCAAAGAGAGCACACTCTTTACACTACAGAAAACCTATCAATATCCTCTCCACCAGCGTCTACTCGCACCCACGAAGTACGAAGCCCACGGAACGGCTTTCAGCTCTCCCATAGTAGAGTACGAAGTACTCTAAATCGTTAACCACTTTTTCTAAACACACAGATCGGAGTGTGTGTGTGTGTGCGTGGCGTTCAAAATGTATATGCATAAGCATCGGCAATCACGATTTTGTGATTTCAACTGTGATACAATTTTTGCCGTAAAAAAACGAAAAATGATCACACAGTACGTGAGTTAAAGGTCGAGACGTATCTTTCATTTTCTTCTTCATTTTATTTTTGTAAACGAAGATACCTTAGGTGTGCATCGCTTCACTCGCTCCGCTGAGGTAGCGCAACATGTGGTGACATTTTCCTAATGTTCTGCTTTTAATTAAAGAAAATGAAAGTGAGGTTGGTTAACTTGAATTTGCGATCATCGATACTGTGGTGCGAGTGTGCTTGAGGTATTTAACTAAGGAGTGGCATTGTTTATCGCACACTACCACCCCTTCTCTTCTTCCACACCTAGCATATAGATTGTGGGTTGGGTTTAAATAATTTGGTTATTATTATAGGTTTGAATATTCGATCATAATGCTCAATTTGTCATAATTTATTGCAGTTTTTTCTAAACCTATGTTTTCTTATGGGCTTAATTGAGAATTTCTAGCGATAAACGACATAAAAGGCCTGCCAATATATGCTTGTAAAGCCGAGCCATTATTTTAGGAGGACGCCAAAATGCCAATTAGGTCTGAAATTGGCAATTATTTTGCACTGTGCATGCATTAAATATCAGTATTGCAGATTGCAGGATTCAACTGAGCTTGCGTACTCAGGAATGTCGGGTGTAAGGCACTACATTTTAACGCAAGGATCGGAATAATGTTCAATATTTATCCGTGCTCCTATTGTCCCCACGCAACGCCGCTTTGGTCAGAGTGGCGTTGGCGGCTGGGTTTATGCTCGTGGTGCTGTAGTTGATGTGGTGCAACGAACTCAGTCCTATACTGTTCGACAGCGAATCATCCGGTGTCTTCTGTGGGTTGTCCTTGGAACCCTTGCAGGAAATGACCAACTTCAGTTCCTTCCACAGCTCCATCCAGACTGAGTCCTGTCAGGAGAAATGAATGAAACGTTGGGGGGTTGAATAGGTCACTATTCACAAGAACTGTGTACCACTATTACTAATATATGCATAAATGACTAGACTTATTGTCCCGAAATCCCGATATGATTATTAGGGATGCTGTACTAGAGAGATCTAAAAATTCGGACTACCCATGGTTTTATCCTGTACCTGAATCAAAACTACTAGGGTCTCAATCATTTTTGCGTACATTGAAAATACGGCCGTCGAGGCTGAGATGCTACCAATTCGACAACCGCTACTACTACTGCTACTTGCTACTGTTACGAATATCAGTACCATTAATACAATAATAATAATAATTATCATGATTAATAATTATAAAAGCGGTATTATTAGTAGTAGTAGTGGTAGTATTTGCTGTTGTTAAAGTCATGTGCACTGATATTTCTCTTATACGTTCCGCCAAGCACCACGTCCTTATCAGGCAGCTCAAAAGACATCTCCTCGTTTCTTTAAAAATATCCTGGCAGTATATGTGTCTCCGTTCCGACAAGAACATTTAGTTGTTTTTTTTAGATACTTACACTTCTTCTGAATTACCTAGTGCCTAAAGTAGCATGTCCGGCGCATAGCCAGACGACCATATACGCAATTTCCTTGAAACATTTCTCTCTAGTTTCATATAAAAAGCAGCTCGTGTTTTGCCTGTGATCGAATGGATGTAAGTAGATGTCTTTATTTTTAAGCTTAGTTTTATTTGCTTCCAACCAAAATATTTTCTCAGCTTTTTATACAGTACTATAAATTATTTCAAACAGCTCCTTCATTTCGAATAAACGCGAATATATTTTTGGTAAATAAATACTTAGAATTTCCTAGCGCACGTTTTGACGCCCGCGCTTCGAAGAGAGTAAACATAAATCGCTCACTTTCCCATCAGAATAGTCTTCAACTTGACGAGCTTCTCAGGGTGTTTGTTTAAAATTACGCACTAAGCGTTTACATATGTTATTTAACTAATGACATCATTATTAATGCTTGCGTACAATCAGAACTTTGCTGTATAAAGCTACAGCTTTAATTCTGTTTTTGTCATCACAAGTTGCAATAATTTAAAAAAAGCATCTAAGCAGGCAGAAGTTCAGCGGCATATGTAAGCTTCAAGAGATAAATTATTCCTGAACGCTGCTATTGCTGGAGTGGAAGTTTCGACTAGCAAACAGCTGCAACCTTGAAGACAAGTCCGCTTGCGGGTACGTTGGCTTAAACGAATAAACGAATTAAACAAATAAAGATACGTTGCATCTCTCTGTTGATATCAAGACATTCTGGCTGTGAGGAATGCGCGTTTTGATGTAAAACAAGCGAATTTCACACAACATTCACTTCACTTACCTAATTACTCAACGCGATTGGGTTACGGGAATCAGCAATAGACACATTAACACACCAAAAATTAAGCACACTATGCATTCCCAGTGCGCCATTTAGTATTAGTTTTATATTTTTTGTTTATTTGTGTATTGCTTAGTAGCCCTTTTTTGCTGTTATTTTACGTCATGGCCTACTTTTCGAAGAAAATAGTACTACAATAGCTCTTTAGGAATAATGGTGTCTAAAGTTCTATATTACAAATGCATCGTATTGCAAGTTTACAATGAGTTTGGGTATTTTCGTTCACTGCCATTGAACTTTGTTTATAAATGTAATGTGATGTAGTACGCGTTGCAGGTACGGGGCCCTGTCCGGGATTTGTCGCCTTTAGCTTTTGTATACCTTTGTTGAAAACTGTATTCAAGATGAAATAAACATTCATTCATTAATGAATTAAGAGATGAATAATCAGCAATTACCTTTCCAATTACTTATTTATTGAATTTTACTTCCTGATATCATGAGGTTCAAGCTCACCCGTTCCCCGTAAGGCATTTTCTTGATCTTCCAGAAAAACTCTAGGGTGACGATGACAACGGCCCCGGCGCAGCCGAATATCAACGCCAGGAACACTCCACCCACGTTCGAAAGGCCCATCTCATTGGTGGCCGAAGCGGCTGTATCCAAGGGACAGGCGTCCTTGCCCTCGACGCGCCACCAGCGGCGTTTCAGCATTTCCAGATCTCCTCTTTCCTGCAGCCGGATGATGTACGAGGATAGCACCGAGCGCACTGGTGAGCCTGCGAAAGTGGTTGCACGTCAAGGCCCCAAACACTTGGGTCGTAGCCGCGTAAAACAAATCATCAGCAAGCTGAACCACTTGAAACGAACTGGACTTAAAAAAAGTTGATGTTAAAATACTGAATGTTACAACATGAATAGAGGTGTGCGAATATCAAAATTTTCGAATACGAATGCATAGCATAGAATACTAGGTGTTTATGTGATGACACTTCCGCCGTTGCGCCCTCTTCCGCCATGGCCGGGTACCTACTTGGGTACCTTCAACATTTCGCGTGCTGCAGCGTGATTGGTTAAGGGCTCGTTATCGGTTGCTCTTCGCGATGTTCAAAGGGAAGCAGTGCAATTTTTTGTTGTCCTACTGTAACGAGCTCTTCGGATCAGGAAGGCCTCGCTTGTTCACTCGAGACAAGACCAGAAAATTAAGATGTGTTACACGTCGACATCAACAGGATTTCCAATACCAGCAATTACACTGCATATTACAGCTGCCCGCCAATACCAACAAGATCACATTAGCTCGCTTTCACTACAAATTGTGTGGCCCAAGAACAAAAGACAGCTCAACATCTCTCGAGCCGCAATTTGAAGAGAGGATGAGCGACCCAAGGAAGCTTCCATCTAAAACAAGTCATTGTGTAGAGAGGCCACCTTGCAAAATATATAATAATATTGTAGTGAAGAAGAGGAGCTTCAGCGGCATTTCTCGGCGCCTCAGGGGCATCGTCATCAGCATAAGCTCGTGCTTGCTGCGCTTGGCCGGACGCTGCTGACTGCTTCGCTTTCTGCGCTCTGCTCTGCGAATAAACCCCGTTACAAGTGGTGGAGTCTGCTGGATTTCGATCACCCTGGAGCTTCGGAATCGCATTTTACCATCCATTATGCATACCGACGCAAGCACCGCTCCGATTCCTCCACCGGCACCGCCTACTGTTCTCTGCGCCGGTTCTCTGCGTCTGCGAGATCCCCCTGTTTTCTCAGGCACAGAAGACAAGGACGTTGACGACTGCATTTCATTTGTACGAGCGAGTGAGTACTCACAACAAATGGGATGACGCCGCCAAGTTGGCCTACGTCTCCTTCTACCTGTCGGACGTGGCCAAGCTGTGGTTTCTAAACCACGAAGCGGAACTCCCTACATGGTCGGTCTTCAAAGCGAGCCTCACACAAGTTTTCGGACGGCCTGAGGTACGCAAACGCCGTGCCGAACAACGCTTACATACTCGGTCCCAGCAGCTTGGAGAGAATTTCACAAGCTATATTGAGGACGTTTCGGACCTTTGCAAGCCAGTCAACGAGTCGATGTCCGAAGAGCTTAAAATCAAGCGCATCATGAAGGGCATTGAGGACGATGCTTTCCAAATGTTGCTTTATAAGAGTCCTCGCACTGTCCTAGAACTGATCGAGTTATGCCAAAGTTTTGACGAGTTGAGCAGGCAACGTCTTTTCACCCGACGTCCTTCGGTGCTCGACGACTCTATGTCCAGCCTTTCCACCCTTGGCATGGGAGAATATCATGCCCCTCTTCTCTCCAAGATCCAAAATTTCATCCGCGCTGATGTCGCTGGTCAGCTCTCTTTGATATCCTGCGTGCCCGATCAACCACGCAGATTGACGCCTACACTCCGCGACTTCATTCAAGACCAGGTCGCACAAGTTCTTCCTCCCACCCATGAACCGCCCCCAGTCACCGCACCTCTCACGTACGCCGAGGCCGTTGCTCGACCTCAACAGCCTGCGTTCCAGCCAGCGCCTATGTATTCGCCGCCACCCTTTTTGCCGCCGACCTATTCATTGCCGCCTATGCCAATACCACCTCAGCCGCAGTTTTCTGCCCCCTCCCCCCCAGCCGCAAGTCGGAGCCTACTCCGACCAATGGCGGACCTACGACAACCGTCCCGTATGTTTTGCTTGTGGCGGTGTTGGCCACGTGGCACGTTATTGTCGTCGTCGCCAGGCTGCTCAAAACATTCGGCGAATGCCCTCTTTCGACCCTCAGTTTTATTCTATGGCTTCAAGCCCTCCTTCCTCTTCCTTTCCTTGTGATCGTCCACACGGCCCGACCCGCCGCTTCCCATCTCCACGTCGACGTTCACTTTCCACTATGCGTCGCCGTTCCGGACCTGCCCACCAGGAAAACTAACGGCCGCAGTTCCCGAGGCACGAACTGCGTCCCCGTCTCCATGCACAAGTCCTCGCCCCTGTCCAGCTAACGTCATTGAAGTGTCAGTCAATGGTATCGTCGTCATGGCGCTTGTCGACACCGGAGCCGCTCTATCCGTCCTTTCCATCAACCTGTGCCGCAAACTCCGCAAAGTTCTGACGACATTATCCGGCCTCTCTCTTAGAACGGCTAACGCACAAAGTGTAACACCTCTCGCAGCCTGTACCACACGAGTCGTCATCGAAGGGATTGTGTATATCGTCGAATTCGTAGTGCTGCCCTCGTGTTCCCATGACATGATACTCGGCTGGGACTTCCTTGCAAAGAATAATGCCGTCATTGACTGCTGTCGCGCTGAACTTGAGCTATCTGCGCTTCCTCATGTTGACGCTGGCGAAGCCTCCCTGCCGTGTTATAAACTGTTTGTTTCCGACGACACCACCGTACCACCGCGCTCTTCTCTGCTGGTCACTGTGTCGTGTGACGCTATTTCCGACGGTAATGTTTTATTTACGCCCTCTGCCTTGTTCATTCAACTCAAATGTTCTGCACTGCCCGTTGCTCTCCTTACTCTCCACCACGGCGTCACGAAGACGCTCGTATACAATACGCTAGAAGGGCCTTTACCTTTATTCTATGGTGAATGTCTCGGTCACGTGCATCCGATCGACGCCCGTCACATTTTTGACGCTCCATCTAGTTTACTTTCTACGGACCTCAGCGCACTCATTTCTGACTCTGTTGTTGACCAGTCACTCCTTGACGCTTTCCACCGCTCCATCGATGCCGCAACGTCTTCTTCAGAACGAAGCCAGTTAGTGAACCTGCTGCAAAAGTTTCGTACTTCTTTTGATAGCCACGCTTCTTGCCTCAGTCGCACATCGAACATATCTCACAAGATTGACACAGGAAGCCATACGCCTCTACGGCAGCGCCCCTACCGAGTCTCAGCGTCGGAGCGCCGTGTTATTGACGACCAGGTTGCTTACATGGTCCAGCGGGGTATTGTACAGCCTTCCAACAGTCCCTGGGCGTCACCGGTCATTCTTGTTAAGAAGAAGGACGGCTCCATTTGGTTCTGTGTGGACTATCGACGTTTAAACAAGATCACCCGTAAGGACGTTTACCCGTTACCGCGAATAGACGACGCCCTTGACTGTTTGCAGGGAGCAGAATGCTTCTCTTCGCTGGATTTACGGTCTGGATACTGGCAAGTTCCTATGGAAGCATCTGACCGACCGAAAACAGAATTTGTCACACCTGATGGATTATACAAATTTACCGTTATGCCTTTCGGCCTTTGTAACGCTCCAGCCACTTTTGAAAGAATGATGGACGCTATTTTACGAGGCCTCAAGTGGAACACATGTTTATGCTACCGCGATGACGTAGTTGTCTTTTCCACTGATTTCGACACCCATTTAAATCGTGTCGAGCACGTCCTCACACGTCTCACCGACGACGGCCTTCAACTCAACCTCAAGAAGTGTCGTTTTGGTGCCCGGCAGCTCACCATTCTTGGCCACGTCGTGTCACGGGACGGCATACTTCCCGACCCCGCCAAGCTTCGAGCAGTCGCCGATTTTCCGAAGCCAAAGAACTTGAAGGAAGCCAAAGAACTTGTCGGCTTGTCGTCATACTTCCGACGCTTTATTAAAAATTTTGCTTCCGTATGTGCACCCACCCGTTACGGACCTTTTTAGCGGCGACAAGGACCTTTCCACCTGGTCACCAGCATGCGACGATGCATTCACCAAATTACGCCACCTGCTGACATCACCACCCATCCTCTGCCACTACGATCCTGCCGCTCCCACGGAGGTTCATACTGATGCCAGCGCTGTTGGACTTGGCGCTGTGCTCGCGCAACGAAAGGCAGGGTTTGATGAATATGTGGTCGCCTACGCAAGCCGAACTTTGACGAAAGCCGAGGCTAACTACTCCGTGACCGAGAAAGAGTGTTTAGCTATTATTTAGGCCCTAGGAAAATTTCGCCCCTACCTGTATGGTCACGCATTCGACGTCGTCACTGACCACCACGCCCTTTGTTGGCTATCCACACTTAAAGACCCTTCCGGACGACTTGCTCGCTGGGCACTCAAACTTCAGGAATACGACATCCGCGTTATTTACAGATCCGGTCGTAAGCACACGGATGCCGACGCCCTTTCTCGCTCACCCATATCAGATGAAGGTGTTAGCCTCTCTTCCCTCGAGCCTGCACTTGCGTCATCCGCCTTGCGCAACATGACGGTGGAACAACGAAAGGATCCCTGGATCAGTGGCCTCATAAGCATTCTTTCTGATCCTCTCACTCCTTCGCCGTCTCGCGCTCTCCGCCGCCAGGCTAGCAACTTTTGCCTAAGGGATGATCTTCTTTATCGACGCAACTACCTTTTTGATGGTCGCAAGTGTCTTCTTGTGATACCCCGCCATCTTCGAGCTGCTATCTGCGAAGGTTTTCACGCGGACCCACAGTGCGCCCACGCAGGCCTCTTCAAGACATACGCTAGGCTTCGACTCAGACTTTATTGTCGTGGCATGTATAACTACGTGCGAAAATTCATTCGCTCATGTGCTCAGTGCCAACGACAAAAGTTACCCCCGGGCAAATCTACCCGTCACAACCTCTTCCTTGTCCTAATCGACCTTTTGATCGCGTCGGCATTGACATTTACGGACCACTACCATCAACTCTAGCTGGTAATCACTGGATTATTGTTGCGATAGACCATCTGACACGCTATGCCGACTGCCACAGCCCGTGACGTTGGAACGTTTCTGTTGCAACGTTTCATTCTGCGTCATGGTGCCCCTCGCGAGCTCTTAAATGAC